CGGTACCGGGAACCGAACTCACGACCTTGCGCTTGCCAGGCAAGCGCTTTTGCCGCTGAGCTAAATCCCCAGCCCTAGGTGTCTTTCTTAAGACACATATGAGCAGGAACAGAGAAATAGAGTTGCCAGTAGAGTATAATTAACTACAGTGGGAAGAGTGAAAGGGAAAATTGTCCAATATAATGTTTTCAGGCTGCACATTCATGGGACCACTGACAAATTAATTGCTGTTCAAATACTAAACAAATTAACTAAATGTCTATATTGGCATATATTTACTTTAGTTGGACAAATACATTCCTAAAATAGAGTGAGCCATTTGTTTTACTTACTGCATATAAAGGCAAGAGAACTGGGTTTAAAAACATAAAATCTAGGTTTGTCTCTATTACACTGTAACTGTACACAAAACATTTAGTCTCAATACATCTCAGTTTACTTGTTAAAAATTAGAGCATATAAATAATAGATTATTTAGACAGAACCAATGTTTCTTAAAGATGCCCGAGGAAAAGACACAACTAGAAAAGAACGTTTACAGTATAAAAAAATGTGGTGTCCAAATCTGAGGCATTCTGTTTTCTGTCTTTTTGAGACAAGGTCTCACTCTGCAGTTCAAGCTGTCCTTGAGCTCCCTTTGTAGCTTAGGCTGGTCTCGAACTCGCAATGATCCTCCTGCCTCAGCCTCCTGAATGCTGGGCTTACAGGCATGTGCCACCACACCCAGCTGTTTTCTGTTTCTTTTCTCGATAGATTTGTTTTGTATGCACTGACAATTAGGGTCATGAGTTCTTGACTTTAGGGACTGTTATGATCAGATGAATCTAGCAAGAGGATCAAGTGATTGTAAATTTATCTACTACATTTTGTTGTTCTTAATTTTTTCAGTGATTACATAATATTTCTGATCTAAAGAAAGACATATATATTTTTGTGAGGTCCACAAATCTAGTCTGGGTCTATTCTTTGCTTTCATCAGTATATTGTTAGAGGAGTTTAGGCTGTTGATAGATTCATGTGTAACACTTCAGCTAGGATAAGCAAGCAAAGCATTTGTCTAATCTGTCACCCAATTTACGAACCCCTCACTTTCACACTTTCTGCCATCATGAAAAAACTTCACAACCACTGTTATGGAGAACTCCGGCGTGTGACCAGGTCTGTGCTAGGCCTTCCACTGTTTGTTCTCAAATGATACCAGGCCTTTAAAATTACTGTCTTTGTGCAGTTAATAAGGAAGCAATTTGGAAAGGGAAAATAGTAGCAGCTAGTAGCAGACATTTCATGTCTGATCAGTAGAAGCACAGGAGGAACACCTGTGTGCTCTGATTCCAAATAAATTACCCTTAACATCTGTGCTGCTTGCTTTCAAGCAAAATCCAAAACAGTGTAGCAAATGTGCACAAAACTGAATGATACAAGAGAGATTTGAGAGGAGCTGCACGTTTTCTTATGAATGAAATGTGATTTAGAGGAAAAAATATGGACCAGGCTGTTGATATTTGAAATTTAACCCACATATTTGAACATTTCAAAGATCTGCCATTGAAGTTATATTAGCTAACCTTTAAGATACTGAGAACTGGACATATTTTTGAGTGATATTTCGGGGTCCTGAGCTGGGCCTTCCAGTTTGATCAGAGTTCTGATATCAAATGTTCTTGGGGTAAATCTATAAGTTGGCAGGTCTTTATCGTAATCCTTTTGTTTTGGAAGAATATTTTAAACCCATGTCTATTGCAGCGTTATTTGCAACAGCCAAGGAATGAAATCAACTGAAATGGGCAAGAAATAAGACATCACCTGATGAACAGAGGAAGAAAGCCAGGCACACATCCACAAGGGAATTCTGTTCATCCTTTAAGAGAAGTAAACTAGCATTTGTCACAGATGTGTAGCATCGGGGGCGGGACACTGCAATGAGCAAAGTAAGCCAGGTACAGAAAAACAAATGCGCGTGATCTCATTTATATGTAGGATCTTAAAAACAGAAACTACCTTGCAGGGTGCAAAGGTGGTGATCTTGCAGTTTTAACCCACATTCTCCATGTCCGCATCTGGATGGAATGGAGAAGGTAATAGTAACAACCTCACTGAGTTGCTCTGAGGGTAAAACAACAAGCATGATTCACTATCCCAACTCTGGGAGCACACTGAACTACAGTTAAAGGTAATGGTTTATTATTTAGAGTTTCCAAACTAGCATCTTTAAAAAAAATCCAGGGGCTGGGTATTTAGCTCAGCGGCAAAAGCGCCTGCCTGGCAAGCGCAAGGTCGTGAGTTCGGTTCCCGGTACCAGAGAAAAACCAAAAAAAAAAAAAAAATCCATATGGTTTAGAATATGGTATTTTATCATTAATAATGGAACAGTTTGTGCTAGTTAGTGGAAAAATTAATACAGAAACATATCTGAGAATTTTGAATAAATATAATAAAAAATAATCAAATTTGGTTTGGACAACAATATGCATTCAATTAACTCTAGTTAGAATAAAGATTACTTCATTCAACAAATACTTCAAGGTCACATTATACTAATCATTACACTTTGGTATTAGCTGCTGATATAGAAAATGTAATATATACCCTGAATTACTTTGAAATTACTGTAGAACTTTGAACGATCAGCTCACTTGCTCTGAGAACATACAGAAATTATTATGGTATTAAGTAATTTTACATAGTGACACAGGATACTTAATTTGGTTTTAGGATTGTGGAAAGGCTGACCAAAACCATGGGTGTGGCACCTCAACCCCACCGCCCTCCACTCATTACATGTTCCCCCAACATTCCTTCCCAGGGACACTCACACCCCTTTTTACTGCTCATCCTCTGCCTGCACGGCTTCCTCAGGCAGGAGCCTCTCTCATCCACTGGGTGCCTCTGCTTTGGTCCAGGTTGGATGTGGATGGCTGCACAAGCGAGCAGTGCTCCAAGAGTGGGAATGGAGAGGGGAAGAGGGCTGTGCATGGCCTGATTCTCTGCTTTGTGGAGTATGAGGGGATGGGGATGGATGAGATCAGCGGATTCTACAGAATTATGCAGTAGAGAGGTAGTCATAGGGAGAAAGAGCAAATTCTGAGGAGGAAGTAATCTCTGTGAACCGAAGGTTCAGAAAGATCCTGTGGGCAGCACAGGGAGGATTCAAGGGAAAATCACATTGTTTTCCCTGAGCTGAGACTCTGGTTATCATTATCTTGGTTTACAAAACATTAGTGATGCAATTAAAATTTACACTTGTATTTATTTATCAATTACTAGAATAAAATGAATCACATAATATATAAAACTACATGCAGGGAAAATTTAAACAAGTTCATCTTAATGGTTTGGTGGCATACAGGCACACTGCGAAGTTAATATAAACAGCCCACTCCTAGAGGGAGTGAACCACATCACGATGTGTTCACGGGTACCGGAACACCAAGGATTTAATAAAATTTTGTGTGATACTTTACTTACATGTCACTCATCATGCTATTTTGCTTAGTCAAGGGAACAGCGTTAAGAATGGAGAACACTGGCTGGGCGTGCCCTGCGTGCTCACCGCCCTAGCGCGTTGGGAGGATGCGACAGGGGGACTGCAAGAGTGAGCCCAGGCGGGCAATTCTGCGAGTTAGCCAGAGCCTGACTCAAAAATAAAAAAAAAAAAAAAGGCAGAGGATGCTGCTCAGTGTAAAGGCCCTGGGTTCAACCCCTACGACTACTAGTACTACCAGGAAGAAAAATAGAATCAAGAATATTACTATCTCTTTTAACATATGCAGTAACTGGTGAAGTTTGATCGAGTCATCCAGTCAGACTGCAGATATGAAACCCTGAGCCCACGCAGTCCGAAGCAACATGCACTCACCGGGCCCTGGAAGTCCAGGTTGTGCCTCCCTTCTCCTAGCATGGGGCTGGCACCCACGCCATCAGCCTCATGATCCCTACCAGCCACAACTTGCTTTCAAAACCCGTCCTCTTCCCTCTGTTCTGAACAACACGGCACACGTAGGGGCAACTGTATGTGCAGCGCGGGGCTCGGAGCATCCCCAACACCTTAGCCTGAGGGACGGACGGGGGTGCTGCAGCCCCTCCTGCACGCATGCTCCTACTCCTGAAGGTGTTCTCTGGATGCTTTCGTCCTGGGTAGCTAACCCCCCCCAAGACAGTGTCAGCTCAAGAAATTCAAGTGCAAGCACTTTGGAAGAAAACTGCAACTGTTGCTTTAGTTTACTGCTGTAAGGGGGAAAGAGTTGAAAATGGGGATTTCTCAATTTTCCAGGGTTCACAGTGATGAAAGTCATGGCTCTGCCTCAGCAGTCACTCTGTTTCTCCCAGAACTGGCCAACTTTTGCCCCTGCAAGTCCTACCTCCTAAGGAAGCCTCAGTCTCAGGCACACTGGACAGCAGAAGCCAGGAAACACCACTCCAGAGAGCTCCAGCCATCCAAAGGCTCCCGCTTCCCAAAG